TCCAGTCACGTTTTCGGGCGCACGGATCAACCGATTTGAATGGTTCAAAAAACATTCGATTCCTATCGATAGGGAAAAGAGCTGATTAGTTTTTGGCAAAGGCAGGTCCAGCCGTTTCGAGGATACGCAGCAAAGAGTGCAGAAAATAGAAATCGACTTTTTGAGAAAACGGAGTATCCGATTTGAATGATCTAAAAAACATTCAATTAGTAATGATTGGGAGAAGTGTTTATTAGTTTTTGGCAAAGGCAGGCCTAGCCATTTCGAAGATACGGAGCTAAATATGTAAAAAATGGCAGTTTTTGAGAGAACTAAGCGTCCGATTTGAATGATTCAAAGAACTTTCTGCTTGTCTTCACAAAATAATTGATTTTGGAAAAAAAATATTGTTTCAATTTTTTTTTTTTAATTTTTTGTATATCGAAAATAATTCAGATTTTATTTTTAATTCTGACTATAGTTCTAATATACTTTAAACAAATAATTTCAACTTTGCAATTCAGTTTGTATAATTCTTATAAATATTAGACAATGTTACAATATTTATAATAATCTATTTGAAAACATTCAGTATTCCTCGAACATTTCGTTACGATACGGGAAGTTCCGATGCCACCCACCCCACTAGTTTTATTATTGGTTTTCCATTGTAATATTCTATTACTATCGACGCAGCATCTAAAGCGCTATAATCTAAAACCACGAATCTTTCAAATGCCATAGACATTTGAAAAAATGGTTAAGAATTAGAAATGTATTGGCATGAATTTGGAAATTTGAAATTAGACGCAAATAGTGTAGTAGAAAAATGATTTATCAATCATGAATTTTTTAAAAGCCTTCAGAGGAAGGTAATACGCTATTTTGACAAACTTTGCGAATTCATATTCAAGATACTGAAAGTTTATTCAAAGTGAATATATTTTATCGAGTACTTGAATATTATTAACCGGACTAATTGTTGTCGATAGGCATTCGAATAATTGAAAATCCGGATAATCAAATGTATGAAGAATAATGTTGTGTATTTATTAAAAATAACAAATTCAAATATAGAGATCAACAAGAATAATGTTTATTAAGAAATTAACACTTCCTTATGTGTGTTCATACACATTTTCTTAGATTACATTACATACGTATACTAAACTGCAGCATTAATTATGCAAAAATTCGACTTGTACATACATATAAATTGGTCGCGGTTGGTAATTCGGATAATCGCAAATCCGTATAACAGATAAACGAGGTTCTACTGATCTATTAAATAAAAGCTCTAAAATGTGTTTAGATAAAAAAGACATATCAGAAAAGATATGTTTTTTATCTAAATAAATTTTAGAACTATTATTTAATAGATCAGTACCATAAAAAAACTTTTTTTTAGATTCTGAATCATTTGCCAGGGAAATTTAGTTTTCGATCAACTTTCAGAGGCGAATAGAATTTTTTTTGGAATAGATATATATTTTTACGCAATTGAAAGCAATAAGAAAAGATTTAATTTACTGAATAGCTTATCGAATTTAACATTTTATTTTATTTTATTTTGAATATTTCACGCTATTGTTTATTCAAGAAAAATCGTCCAACAAGTTTTCAATCAGGGGTATTGATGAAAATATGAATTTTTATGAAAATGGAACGTTACTACTCAATCAATAAAATTAATTAGTGTAAAAAAAAGAAATTGTTGATGGAAGGTTATCTAACGTTAGATTTTAATTTTTATTTACTCCAACGTTGAAAATATTCACCAATATTTCTTGTTTGATTTGCAAGAAAAATTAAGTTTTATGCATTTTTTGTTATTTTTATATAATCATAACTAAATTATAAAATAATTATACCCCTAAATCAACTGTTTACTTTTCTACCTTTTGTATAATTTCTTAATATAAAGCCATAAAATATAAATTAGTCGAAGTTGGTTTGCTAATTTGTGATCAAATTCATTAAAAATTATTTTAGCCAGTAGTAAAACAGCGTGTACTTAACGTTTATTAAACAAAATTAGATAAGTCAAAAATTGAGTACCACGATAGGGCCCCGTCGGAAAATTTTGCCACGGGCCCCGGAGGTTCTAGTTACGCCATTGCACACACACACACACATCCATTTTTTCTAAGGTCTATCAAAATGTTCAGAAACCTCTGAAGCGTAAGATATATAAAAAATTTCATTTTTGATTTTTTTGCTATTACTATAACTTACCCTACGGGAAGTTAAAAAGATCAAAATTTCCAAAATATTTGAAACTTAAAAAAAAACTTTTTTCCAAAAATCTAATTTTTTCAAAGTTTAAAACATATTAAATATTTTTTTTTTAATTAAATTTTTGGTACGGAAAGTACCAGCAATTTGCCGGGGTTATACGCAGTTAGAATTTTCAAAAAAAGTTTTTTTAAAATTTTTGTAATGTACCTACATATATTTGAGCATATTCTCTGAAAATTTGAAGTCAATCCGATAAATACTTTCGGAGATTACCTGAATTTGTAAGGCCACGTCAGAGCGTCAGAGCGTGAAGTAGGAGGTAGTAAAAAAGAATGTATCGGGCATGTTCGAAAGAAGATAGGCTCACGACTCTGCGACTTAGTCAAAAATAAGACTGATCAATCGAAAAAGACAGAAAATCAATTAATAAAAAAGTACTTTCTGAGAATAATAGAGCCAATTATTTCATGTGGCTCTACAGTTGTTGAAATAGCGGCTTACATTGCAGCTGTAATACATAATGAAGGTACAACATCATTGCTACACATTATGCGTGCATTAGTGCTTTCATTAGGCACGGCAGCTCATGATTATGCTCAGAAAGAGGACGCAGAGCGTGCGATGATTTCCGACGCGAGAGCGCTAGGAAGCATGCACGAAGAAAGAATGGCTCGACGACAACACCAGCTGGACTTACTGAAAGCTAAGGATCCTACACAAGGCCCCTCCTATGGTCCTGGAATCGATGATACCATACAAGTTTAAAAAAAAACAAAATTTGCCTACGTGTGAACTACTTCTGAAACTTTAAACGCGTTTATCTCAATACTGTCATTTCAGAGTTGGTGAGCAAGATTTCTCAGAGATGGCTCAACTAATCGGGTTGAAATTTTAACACAATCTTTTTTATATACATTCTTTAGGTATTGAACGAAGAAATAAGATGTAAACTTTTTTTTAATATTTTTTTTGAAAATTTACAGTAAAAATTTTCATCGAAAACAAATTTTTTTTTTCAAATTCCCGCCATCTTGTCAAAAATGAAAAATTTGTTTATTCAATACCATTTTTTTTGTTCAAAACCTACACTTATCTATCTTCTAAAAGAATTCACCTTTTTTATTTCGGATAATCTAAACCGACGAAATCGTGCTCACCGCCGAACGCCTTTTTATGGAGGACGTTCTGGAAATATCTGCAGAGGCGGTGAACTTCAATATTTTGACACGAGTGATACACAATTATATTCTTCAAAGTGTGCTCTTTCAGAATTACTATTACTTGTACTTAATAAATGAAAGCTGTGTCCACAAAAAATCGCAAAAAAACGTTATTTTTTAGCCTCGCAACTGTGTAAAAAAAAGCACTCAATATACTCGATACTGATAATGAGTAGTAAGTATCGATATTTTTTTATTATTATTTGTTAAAAATAGCTTATGAAGCATATGAGTATTTGTTAACCATAGCACGACCAAACGTATAAGTTTTGTTTTTCATTTCTAGGTCTTTAGTTTTTATTAATATTAGTTAATTTTTTATGTTGGCATAAGTATATTTAAATCTTAGAAATTAGTATCTCTGTATGTACATACCTTATGTGCCAGTTTGTCCGTTACCATTTTTTAATGGTAATTAGTTGAATTTTTCCTTTTCTTTTCGTATGATGCTATAGTTATATTACTGGTAGTCGAGGAATCTAAGATGAATAAAAACGATTGAGACTGATTACATCATTAAACTAGTGGGGTGTATGGCATCGTGCCTTAAGGCAAATTGCTGAAACTTCCCGTACCGTATCGAAATGTTCGGGGAATACAGAATGTTTTCAAATAGATTATTATAAATATTGTAACATTGTCTAATATTTATAAGAATTATATAAACTGAATTATTAGAACTAAAAATAAAATCTGAATTATTTTCGACATACAAAAAAAACTAACTCAAAAAAAAATGATACAATTTTTTTTTCCAAAATCAATTATTTTGTTAAAACAACCTGAAAGTTCTTTGAATCGTTTAAATTGGACGCTTAGTTTTCTCAAAAACTGCCATTTTTTGCACATTTAGCTCTGTATCTTCGAAATGGCTGGGCCTGCCATTGCCAAAAACTAATATTCACTTCTCGCAATCATTACCCCAATTGAATGTTTTTGAGGTCATTCAAATCGGATGCTCCGTTCACTCAAAAACTCGATTTCTATTTTCTGCACTCTTTGCTCCGTATCCCCGAAACGGCTGGACCTGCCTTTGCCAATGAGCTCTTCTCCCTATCGATAGGAATCGAATATTTTTTGAACCATTCAAATCGGTTGATCCGTGCGCCCGAAAACGTGACTGGAAATTTGTATCCATGCATACATACACACACACATCAATTTTTTCTGAGGTATGCCAAAATGTTCAGAAACCTTCAAAACGTCGAGAAATGTAAAAAATTTCAATTTCGATTTTCGGCCTATTACAATAACTTACCCTACAGGAAGTTAATAAATAAATATCAGTAAAAGGCAAAACACAGTCATTTTGTTCGTACTTCCCTTAAATATAAAAATATAAAACATTCATTATATTTTTTTAATTAATATATGCATACACAGTTGTACATTCTATCAATTTGAATTACAAAAGCCATCTGTAAATAAAAGAAAAATGGTTAATGACTAATATAAACAATATTTGTTGATAGTTATTTTTTATTTTTAAAGGGCAACTAATAACTGTATTTCTTATTACAATATACATACTTTGACATGGATTTTTAACTATATTATATACATACATACTTTTATTAATTTTTTTCATCACGTTATGTCAGAATTTTCTGAATAGTACAATTAAAAATGTTCATTTTATTCTTCATCACAAAATGTCAATGGAACTGAAGAGTATGCCAATCTTCGAAAATATTACCCACACATTTCATTACACTGTAATTAATTACAATATTTATAATAAATAACTGACAATGAATACCTATTGATTAATACTGGTTTTAACAACTAATAAGAGCATTTACGTTGAGGATATATAACTCAATTACAATTCGCAGTCAAACGTAAAACGCAGAATTCATAATAAATTATCTATAGTCAATCCACTTGGCCACTTTTTAAACTGTGACGATTCTAAATTTTTGACGCGGTCCATTAATTCAAATTCTAATAAATATTTACATTTAAACCGCTTTTCAGGGGCTCATAATATGTGCCAAGTCGAATTAAGTGATTCGAATCAAGTTCTCGACATTCTGATCGAATCACATTTTACTTGATTCGAATCAACTCGTATCAAACCAAAAAAACTAGCTGTAAGTGGAATTCTGTCTTGAGGCACTTATGGCATCGTGCTAGAACTTCCCGTACCGTAACGAAATGTTCGAGGAATACTGAATGTTTTCAAATAGATTAAATATTGTAACATTGTCTAATATTTATAAGAATTATATAAACTAAATTGCAGAGTTCAAATTATTTGTAAAGTATATTAGAACTATAGCCAGAATTAAAAATAAAATCTGAAATATTTTCGATATACAAAAAACTAAAAAAAAAAAGTTGGAACAAAATTTTTTTTCCAAAATCAATTATTTTGTTAAGACAAGCAGAAAGTTCTTTGAATCATTTAACCCCTTCACTTACCAGCCAATCTCCAAATTTACGGGCCCAAAGCGACACTAAGGTCGGTCGCACGCAGTGACATAAACAACTCTGCTTAGCGTTCGAAACTGAACAAATCACTATTATATATAGTTTCTATATGCACGTGTGCGGTACAAAAAACTTTGCAAGATGTTTGATAAATAATTACGTTGATTTTTAAATAAAAATATAAATTTATTATTACAAATATATAAAATATACATATAATTATAAATTTATATATTTGTGCGAAACGTACAATGTCACTACCACTGTCAGTACTACTGGTTGCAAAGTCATCACTGTTTTGTAATTCATCACTAATTTTTTTTAAGACATTATAATTGGTATTTTTTTAAAACTTCTTACAAACGATGTATGTATATGCGTCACCAAGTTTCGGAAATGTTTTATTTATGTATTGTCCGGTAGACTTACGACGACTCTAAGGCGTCCTATTCGTGTTTGGGCCGATAACCTTGCGACGCCTCTGAGGCGTCTTTGTAAGCGAAGGGGTTAAATCGGACGCTTAGTTCTCTCAAAACACTTCTCCCAATCATTACTAATTGAATGTTTTGTAGATCATTCAAATCGGATACTCCGTTCTCTCAAAAATTCGATTTCTATTTTCTGCACTCTTTGCTCTGTATCTCCGAAACGGCTGGACCTGCTTTTGCCAAAAACTAATCAGCTCTTTTCCCTATCAATAGGAATCGAATGTTTTTTGAACCACTCAAATCGGTTCAATATCGATCCGTGCGCCCTAAAACGTGACTGGAAATTTGTATCCATACATATATATACATACACACACACACACATCCATTTTTTCTGAGGTATGCCAAAACGTTCAGAAACCTTCAAAACGTCAAGAAATGTAAAAATTTTCAATTCCGATTTTCGGCCCATTACAATAACTTACCCTACGGGAAGTTAAAAAATACTTACTATAATGCAATATGTATGAACATAGATTTTAATAATTATAAAACGAAACTAATGATGCATGGCATCGTGCCTCAAGGCAAATTGTTGAAACTTCCCGTACCGTAATGAAATGGTGGAGGAACTTAAATGTTTTTAAAATTAAAATTCGAATCATTTTTAAAATTAAAAAAAACTTTTTTAAATTTTGAAGTTAAAAAGAATACATTCCCCAAAAACTAATCATTTCTCCACAATATCAACACAAGCAAAATGTTTTTTGAATTATTCTGATCAGATGATCAGTTGCCTCACTAACGGCCATTTGTTTACTTTTGCTCCGAATCTCTGTAACGGAACAGCAAAAAAACAAGCATAACATCAATACGAATCGAATGATTTTTGAATCAAACCGAATATTTTATTAATCATTGTAATCACATACCACATTCCCGCCAAAAACCGAATTTTCATTTTCTACACTTTTTGCCAGTTTGACAGATGGCAACCCAATCAGTTGTCACATCTCTGTATGATATATTATTATTACAATTTCTGTAATAGGGCGAGTATGGTGCAGGAATGCCGGGTGAGGGCTATTTTCACTTGGAAACATATTGCTATCTATATTTCCAAGTGAAAATCTTTATTATTTTTAAATATATTCATTTATTGAAATTGAAAATAAAAGGAAATGTAAACTACCCTTACAATTAGAGTAGAAAACCATGTACATAATTATATATATATATATATATATATATATATATATATATATATATATACGTTCTCTCAGAAACTGAATTGGTATCTTTGTTCATCTTTTGCCCCTTATCTTCGCCAAATCATGCCAAAAAACTATTCAGCAAGTCTCCACATCAATAAGAATCGAATGTTTTTTGAATTATTCATATATATATATATATATATATATATATATATATATATATATACTAGATGACCCGACAGACGTTGTCCTGTACCCACCTCTCCGTTTATTTAATATCCCATACTAATATTTATACCGTTCAGTTAAAAATAATCATTATTTTTCTTCGAGTTACTATTTACACCAATATATGAGTGATGTTAAATGTAGTACTGTTTCAAATAAAATGATTATTCTCAATTCCCACAGTTAACACTTTAATTATCCCTTTTATGTTCAATAAAATTATATATTAAAAATTATACACTGCGATTTATAGAACAAATTTATTTCCAATAGCTCAATTTATTATATTGAATTTAAGGATTATACAATATTTTTAGACATACCTGTAGATGTGGATGTTTAAATAAATGATTTTTTGTTTATTCACGGCTAAAACATTGATTTTCCAAATTTATCACCATGTATTTATTGTCATAGCATAGATTGAAATTGAAAGTGTTGAAAATTGAAATCTTTTAAAAAGTATAACAAATTCAGAAAGAATTAATATATAGCATGCGGTCAAGGTACAATATCACCTTCGATTTTTCTACCCAAAATAATTGCTTCAATAATGTTGCCTACTTGAAAAGTATTTGCTTTTTTGAAAAACATTATTAAACATTTTTCTCTTATAATTAGTTCTTTTATCGATACCCAACGTTATTTTGAAAAAAGTAAAATTACACCACTGAAAAGAAATGTCATCCACCCGAGAAGTGGTAAAGGAGTCTAAATTGTTTTCACTTCTGAAGAGTAAGATGAACCTAGTTCCAAAATTCCAAACGAATTGGAAAAAAGTAAAAAAAGGTCGGACCGAAAGCGCTCCATTGAGTAAATATTCCGTACCCAATGACAAACATATGAATTTTTGACACAATGAAACTTCTAAATAATTTTTTTTGTATTGTGACTTAGTATAGTAAGGCAAAACGACCGCAAATTGAATATTTTTGAGCGCAATCACTTATGGCTCGTCTCCTTTGCACGAATTCGTACGGCGAATCTGTTCGCAAATTATTGCAAGCAAAATTCGCCGTGCGCGTCAGTCGCATGCGCAGACTGTCAGACGCATGTTATATTATTTGCATCTTATATTATTTTAATTATGGCACATCTCAGCTGCTTTTCGACAATAATAATGTAGACATTACATTTTCTTTATTTTTAATCATGAATTTATTATATTTTAATATTGCCTTAGCCTCTAAGTGAATAGAAATGTTTGGCAAATGACAGTTGTTATTTGTTTTTAATGTCAAACCATGCCTTAAATATTTTAAAGGTCAAACAATGATAAGCGGTTTTTTTGTAATTTTTTCCATTTATTTCTACTATCTAACTATATTTCTGTGAATCAAAACATTCTAGAAAATTTCCCGAACAAACTTCAGGAAGATTCATGAAAATCCGAATTATAGTTTAGGAGGATTAATGAAACTTACATTGTTACAGAAGAATTTTATATATATATATATACTAGATGACCCGACAGACGTTGTCCTGTACACACATCCACGTTATTTCAATATTCTATACCAGGGGTCGGCAAGCTTTTAACTGTGTTTAAAAGCTTGCCGGTGTGCCAAGCCACTGTACCAATATGATTTAGAGTGCCGCCTTAATTCTGAAATATATCATTAAGTTCTAGGAGAGAAGAATTATAACCCAATTTATCTTTGAAACATATTTATAAACACATAACCTACAATTCTAACATAAACTAAACAATTTTAATGTGAACCTTGTCCCTGTACATTTTTGCTTAACATTTCAATATCCGGGGTATAATTTGTAACTTTTAACTTCACACATGATTCTGAATGTTCAGTTGTTAAACGACTTCTTTGTGAACTCAAAATATGTTTCATGTAAGAAAAAATTTGTTCACAAAGATATGTGGATCTAAAAGCTGAAAGGAGAGCGCATGCAATTTTCTTTAAACAATTAAATCTTTCCGGCAATGACATCCAACAATTTAATACGGCTGTCGATTTTTCTATAGAGTCATCTTCTAGATTTTTTCGTAATTCTTTAAATTTTGTTTTCCATAATTCTGAAGATGATAGTTCGATAATTTCCATTTCAAAATTATCAACATTCATCCACTCTAAAATTGAACAATCGAACGGTATTATTGATGAATCTATTAAATCTGGTTTTCTGGTCTGGAAAATATAGGCACATAAGCTTCAAAATCTTCGCATCTTATGCAAAATTCATCTTTAAGTGCTTCAACGTAGGTTTTAAGTTCATTGTTGTTTACGGTCGATTCATTTGCAAGCGCTATCACACTTGGGAAGTATTTGTAGGTGCTCGTGTTAATATCACCTAAAAATATATTTAATTTTGACGCAAATGCTGTCCAATATTCAAATAATTCGAGCACCGTTTGGCGCTTCCCTTGCAATCTCAAGTTTAGTTCATTTAG